TTCCGCAACAGTTTTCCTCTCTCCTCTCCTCTCTCTATCTGTCTCCTCCCACCCTCTCTGTCTATCATCTCTCTCTCTCTCTCTCTGTCTATCTATCTATCTCCTCTCTCTCTCTGTCTATCTATCTATCTATCTCCTCTCTCTCTCTGTCTATCTATCTATCTATCTCCTCTCTCTCTATATATATATCATTCTATCTATCCCCTTCTCTCTCTATATATATATCATTCTATCTATCCCCTTCTCTCTCTCTCTCTCTCTCTCTCTCTCTATCTATCTATCTATCTATATCTATCTATCTCCTTCTCTCTCCCTCTCTCTATCTATCTATCTCCTTCTCTCTCTCTCCCTCTCTCTATCTATCTATCTCCTTTTCTCTATCTCTCTTTCTTCCTCCCTCTCGCTCCTATCAGATGGCCACTCTCAAGTACCATAAACATGAAGCAGAGTTATGTATAGTTCGAAAGATAAGGGAGAAGTGTGTATGTGTGTGTGTAAGCGTGTGCGTGTGCGTCTGCATGTACGTAAGCGTGAGCGTGTGTACGTATGCGTGTTTTCCCCTTCATCCTCCATAAAATAAATATTTATAAATCGCCTTCCTTTATTTACCAAAAGCAAAACAAGATATCAAAGCAAGTGATTCCCACCAGAGGGTCCGTGAGCAGCCATAAAATCTTCTTACAAAATAATGAATAACAAATAATCTTAATTCATGATAAAATAAATCTTAATTAATATCTTAATAAATAATCTTAATAAATCTTAATTCATATTAAATAACACTTACTCATCAACAACACGTTACAGGTTCTTTTCAGACACCAATATACTCATACTTAGGCTATACAGTGTATATAGTAGAGAGAGATAATAACGTAGATAGAATTAAGGAAAGAAATATTTAATTTATATAAAACATATAGGGGTTCCTTGGTATGTAAATAAATAAATAAATAATAATAAAAAAAATAATAATCAGGTTTCGTCCAAGGTGTATTTTTCGGGATTCGTTGTATAAGAAAAATAGTTACGAAATACAGTATATACATAACATTAAAAACATGAGAACACCCTCTCCTTACACCTTATATCTCCTGCAACACCAAAAAAACACAACATTGCAACATAAGAGCAACATTACAGCACCTTATCCCCCACCCCTTCCCCCTCCCCATCCTGCAACACCATAAACATTGCAAAATCTCAGTAACATTGTAAGCCCCCCCCCCCTCTCCCTTCCACATTTCCCCTCATTCCCCTCGGTCCCTCCCCAGCACCCCCCTCCCCCTCCCCCTCCTGCACCACCAGAGCAAATCATTATACCCCCCTCCCTCCCCCTCCCCTTCCCTACCCCCTCCCCTTCCTCAAAAAAAAAAAAAAAAAAAAAAAAAAAAAAAAAAAAAAAAAAAAAAAAAGGACACTATATTTCAAGAATTCGAAATTGAAACAAAGTTGAGGCCTATGAAAGTCTCCCCAAGAATGTATACATTTTTTTTCCCCTGTTCCTTTTTTTTCTTTCTCTTTTTTACCCTCTTCCTCTCTCGTGTCTGTCTGTTTCTCTCTCTATCTCTGTCTGTTCTCTCTCTTTCCTCTGTCTGTTTCTCTCTCTTTGTCTTCTCTGTCTGTTTCTCTCTCCTTGTTTCTTGTTCCTCTCTCTTTCTCCTCTCTCTGTCTCTGTTTCTCTCTTTCTCTCTTTGTCTGTCTGTCTGTCTCTCTCCTCTACTCTCTCTCTCTCTCTCTCTCTTCTCTTCTCTCTCTCTCTCTCTCTCTCCTTCTTCTCTCTTCTCTCTTCTCTCTCGTCTCGTCCCTCTCTTTTCCGTCTTTTTTTTTTTCTTTTTTTTTTTTTTTCCCACTGAGCTTTCCGGCTATGAATGTTTTCCGGCCTTTGTGATATTCTCTTTTCTTTGGCATCCTTTTTGGGCTCTTTCTTTCTTTTCTCATCTTCTGTCATCGTTATTGTTTTTTCTCTCCCATTTCTCTAGGTCGAACGGGAAGGAGGAATGAAGAGAGCGAGAGAAGAGAGGAGAGAGAGAGAGAGAGAGAGAGAGTAGAGCCAAAGAGAGAGGAGAGAGATGATGAGAGAGAGAGAGATGAGAGAGAGAGAGAGAGGGGGGAGTATGAGAGAAGAATGAGAGTGAGAGAGAGAGAGAGGGAGAGGGAGGAAAAGAAGACAGAGAAGAGGGAGATTGAGAGATTGGTAGAGAGATAAAAGTCATTTGTATCTGACGAATGGGGGAAGGGAGAGAGGGAGAAGGAGATGGAGAGGGAGAGGGAGGAGAAGATGGAGACTGAGAGGGAGACGGAGAGGGAGAAAGAGAAGGAGGCAAGGGAGAGGTAGAGGGAGAGGGAGAAGGAGAGGGAGAGGGAAAGGTAGGAGAGGATATGAAGTTGGAGAGAGAGAGAGATGGAGATGGAAAGGTAGAGGGAGAAGAAGGGAGAGGGAAGAGGGAGAAGAAGGTGGAAGAGGGAGAGGGAGACGGAGAGGGGGAAAGGTAGAGAGAGAAGCAGAAATGGGAATGGAAGAGACGGAGAGGTAGAGAGATAGAGGCAAGGAGACAGACATGCATAGAGAAAGAGAGAGAGAGAGAAAGAGAAAAGAAGAGATAGAGACAGTAATCCAACAATATATAAATAACAAAACAAAAATGATACCAAAACCAATACTAGATAAATAAATAAATAAATAAAGATAAAATAGATAAATAAATAAAAATAAAATAAAATAAATAAATAAGTAAAAATAAAATAGATTAATAAATAAATAAAAATAAAATAAATGAATAAATAAGTAAATAAACAATAAAACAAACAAACTTTATCCCCAGAGAATCTATTCTTAACCGGATAAGAAACACACACACAAAAAAAACGAAAATCAATTATGACCCTTAAAGGAATACAGCTTATCTCACCCATCATTATCTACCGTCTCGGATATCTTCCCCTTTTCCTTTATTATCGGCCTATTGATCTCCTTATGCTCCGTCTCCCATTCGCTTGTCTATGGCCGACTTCCTCTCAATGCTCCTTAAGAATTTTTTATTTTTTTATTTAGTTGTTTTGGTTCATTTATGTGAAAGTATACTTGGGTAGATGTAGATGTATGAATATACTTATAAGCTGCATGGATATATACATGTGTAACTCATACAGATGGATACGTATATGTATAACACGTATACAGGTAGATGCATATGTATAAGGAACATGTAAATACACATATATACATGAGTACTTCAAGACGCGTACATCCAAACACACACACAACACATACACACGAACACAAACACACATACACACAACAAACACACATACACACACACACACACAACACACAAACACACACACACACACACACAAACGCACAAACACACACACACACACACACACACACACCACACACACACAAACGCACAAAACACACACACACACACACACAACAAACACGCACACACACACACAAAACACACACACACACAAACACAAAACACACAACACACACATACACACACTCCCATAACTCCCCCCCCCCACCCCCACCCCCATCAAGACAACCCGAGAGAGAAAGTAGACCCACCATTACTACACTTATCTCAACGCCCATATCCCTTTTTAAATCGCTCCTGAACCACCCATTCATTCTGCATAACGACCTTGTTATGGCGAACTTCTTTTCATGAGTTCCAGGCCCGGGACGACCTCGTTAAACGGGAGGTGGGTAGTTTGTGACGAAGAACTTCACACTTTGTTCATATTGTCGTTTCTGTTCGTTGTGGAAGTTTGGAAGTTAAGGGGGCCCGTTTAAAGGGGCGAGTGGCTGTATGGTGGCTTCGTGGCTTATTGCCTGGCTTTCTCGTTTTCTTTCTTTTTTCTTTTTCTCTTTCTTGGCTGTTTTTTTTCTCGTTTTTTGTTTTATTTTTTCTGTTTCTTGGCTGGTATTCGGTTGTTTGTTTTTTATCACTTTTTTCTATAGGAAGGGGTTATTTTTTTCTGTATGGGATTCTCTCTCTCTCTCTCTCTCTCTCTCTCTCTCTCTCTCTCTCTCTCTCTCTCTCTCTCTCTCTCTCTCTCTCTCTCTCTCTCTCTCTCTCTCTTTATATGCACACGCACACTCATGTATACATACATACATACATTATATATATATATATATATATATATATATAATATATATATATATATTATATCATGTATGCCTACTCACATATAAGACCCTCTCCCTTTCCTCCTTCTCTTCCTCCCCCCTCCCTTCCCTTCCCTCCCCATCCCCAGCTCTCCCTTCCCCTCCACCCTCCTTCCCTCCCCTTCCTTCTTCCCTCCTCCCTTCCTTCCCCATCCCTCCCATTCCTTCCTTCCCCCTCCCCATCCCTCCCCCTCCTCTCCCCCTCCCCACCCATCCTCTCCCCTCCTCCACCCCCACCCCCAGCCCTCCCTTCACCCTTCACCCTCCCTTCCTTTCCCTCCTCCCTCCTCCCCACCCTCTCCCCTCCCGTCACCCTCACTCCCCTCCCCTCCCTCCCTCCACCCTTCCCCCACCCCCCAAGCCCAGGGCTCAGGTGGGCGGGGGCGTCGCTGGAGACTTACCCTCGTCCTGACTCTTCTTATCGAATTAAGGAAAGTCGGACAGTCGCGCTTCGTCACCGGGACTCCTTCCTCCCTTCCTCCTCCTGTGTCTCCGTTCGTTGTCTTCGCACTCGTTATCATCGTCGTTGTCTCCTCTCTTTCTCTCTTTCTTTCTTTTCTTTTCTTGTTTCTATCTCTATCTTTCTTTTCTTGGTTCGTTATTTTTTCTCTCTCTTTTCTTTTCTTGTGTCTTTATCTCTCTCTCTTTTCTTTTCTTGTTTCTTTCTCTCTCTCTTTCTTTTCTTGTTTCTATCTCTCTCTTTCTCTTTTTTTTCTCGTTTTTTTCAAGATTATTATTATTTTTTTTTTTTTTGGTTTTGTTTTATCTTCGGTGGAATTTCTTTTTTTTCTTTTCTTTGTATAGTGATTAACTTTTTTTTTCTTTTCTTTTCTTAATTATTTATTTCGTGTTTTTTAGGCCCACTTAGGATGTCATTGAAGTTGCCGGTTCGTTTTTTTTTTCGTTATTTTTACATACACTTTATTCACTTATTCAATTATCTTTCTTTTTCAAAAGGCTGTTTCGTTTAGCGCGAGGCTGTGATAATCACATTTAAAAAATAATTTACCAAACTGTAAATCATCTTTGAACCTATTAAATAAATCACAAAGACTATTATTTATCAATTCACAACGGACCAAATATTTTAATAAATTCACCTCTTACTTATTCGTAAATAAACTTATTAATCTATTAAATGAATCACAAAGACTATCATTTATCAATTTACAACGAACCAAATATTTTAATAAATTCACCTCTTAATCGGTAAATAAACTCAATAATCTAAGATTCTAATTGATATCAATGCACAATTAAGACCTTATCCCTAGTTCTTGTTTACGAAGAATAAGACCTAAATATCATCTTTTAAAAAATTAAGAAAATTCAAAGTTGAGTGCCATGGGGATGGTATGGGACTACGTGTATCATCTTCCACTGTAAAAGGTGGCACTGTATCTGGCTCATTGGCACTGTGTTGGATTAATCGTTTGATAGATAATTGTGTTTCATATTTTCGTAGTAAAAGGTGGCACGGAATGGCACTGATTATAAGGGATGCCTCGCTTTATAAATGATTGGTTCGTCAGATTATTTTTATTATAAGGGTATCATATTCCGCTATGAGAGGTGGCACTGTATCCGATGGAATGACACTGTATGAGGTACATTTAACGATATATTAGCCTGAATTGGTCAATCATCTACACGGATTAAAGATAATAGATTGTGAGACTTATTTTCCATATCAAAAAGAGGCACTGTATTCCTCGGGGTGGCACTATATGATACACAATTGGATATATATTAGCATATAGAATCATTATTTCCACGAATAAGGATAAGACTTTGTAACAAGTATCGGGATGAAATACTGGCACTATATCCGACGAGCTGGCACTTTTAGCTATATATAAGTTCGGATAGTCAATTATATAAGAAATGACACTGTATCCGATGGGTTGGCACTGTAAGATGCACAAGTTAACTATGCACAAGCCCGGAGAGTCAGTTACGCCTATCGCCAGATTCTAATAAGAAGTGGCACTGTATCCGATGAGGGTGGCACTGTATCCGACGAGGGTGGCACTGCATGATACGCATTTAACTTGATATGAGCCTTCTTTGGCTCTCTCATTAAACGGAGCCTCAAGGTCCTGCTGTCTCACGTCTCTGTTATCTCTTTCTTTCTTTCTTCCTTCCTTTCTTTCTTTCTTTCTTCCTTCCTTTCTCTGCCTTGCGACGGAAACCACGAAGGGGTTGTAGTGCCCCGGCAGGCGAGAGCGAGCCAGTCCTGTAGGAGTCCGCGGAGCAGGGCCATATCACCTGGCACCAGCAGGCACGCACCGGCAGGCACATAGCTACAGGTGCTTACCCACAGGTATACACCTACAGGTACATCACCCGCAGGAGTACACCCGCAGGCACACAGGTACACAGGTACACACCGATGCGCACACGCCCGCATGTAAAACGCACACAGAACTACACCCGCAGGTACACAGCCGCAGGTACACAGCCGCAGGTACACAGCCGCAAGTACAGCCGCCAACACACCGCGGTGCCGCAACCTCGCCGCTCTACCACCCTTCAGCCACAACTGCCGCGCCTGACCCCAAGCCCCGTGTACTGTGCCCGGGGCGAGGGCCAGCGGGTGCCAAAAACAGCCTCGGGGGGGGGAGCGTCCATCGATAATTGGGCCTACGGCGGTGCCCCGAGAGCCCCGAATAGGTCACATATTTCTGGGGATTTGAGCTTTATTGGCACCTGAGATATTGTTTATATATTTTCCCACGTTCGGGGTGACGTTAATTGCTCGGTGCTTCGGTATTTTGGGTGTTGCTAAGCCTCTCTCTCTGGCCGGGTGTCTGGGGATAACGATGGCTGGGAGGGGGAGGGGAGGGGGTGTAGGGGAAGGAGTGGGGGTGTGTGTCTGTGTTTGTGTGTGTATGGGGGAGGGGAGGGGGTGTAGGGGGTGAGGCTGTAGGGGAAGGAGTGGGGTTGTGTGTGTGTGGGGGGGGGGGGTTGTGTGTGTGTGGGGGGGGGGTTGTGTGGTGTGTGTGTGTGTGTGTGTGTGTGGTGGTGTGTGTGTGTGTGTGTGTGTGTGTGTGTTGTGTGTGTGTGTGTGTGTGTGTGTATGTATGTGTATGTACGTATGTATGTATGTATGTATGTATGTATGTATGTATGTATGTATGTATGTATGTATGTGTGTGTGTATGTATGTATGTATGTATGCATGTGTGTATGTATGTATGTATGTATGTATGTATGTATGTATGTATGTATGTATGTATGTATGTATGTATGTATGTATGTACGTATGTATGCATGTGTGTGTGTGTGATTTCTCAGTATGATATGCGTGTTTACATGTATTTATCCAATAAAAAAGACTTTAGCTTCCATTCCTCGCGGTCCTTCTCTCACGCAGACGCTCTCTCTCTCTCTCTCTCTCTCTCTCTCTCTCTCTCTCTCTCTCTCTCTCTCTCTCTCTCTCTTCTCTCTCTCTCTCTCTCTCTCTCTCTCTCTCTCTCTCTCTCTCTCTCTCGTCTCTCTCTCTCTCTCGGTAATCTCTTCGCTTCTTCTCCATCTGTCCTTGTTTATTCCCCTCCTCTCTATCTGTTCATCTGGCTGTATATCTGTCTGTTTGTCTGTCTATCAATCTAGCTAGCTCTATCTCACTGATGCCCCTTCTCTCTCTCTCTCTTTCTCTTTTTCTTTCCTTCTGTCTGTCTCTCTTTTCTTTTCTGTCTGTCTGTCTGTCTGTCTGTGTCTGTCTGTCTGTCTGTCTGTCTGTCTGTCTCTCTCTCTCTCTCTCTCTCTCTCTCTCTCTCTCTCTCTATATATATATATATATATATAATATATATAAAATATATATAATGAATAAATAAATAAATATAAATATATATATATATATATATATATATATATATATATATATATATATATATATATATTATATATATATATGTACATATATATATATGTGTGTGTGTGCGTGTGTATGTGTGTGTGTGTGTTTGTACATATGTCCATCTTCATTTCTCTCTCTAACTACCAGCTCCATTTCCTCCCTTCCATTCTTTACCATGCACCAATTTCCCTTCGCAGCTGTCCTTCCCTTATTTCTCGTTTCTTTTTTATTACTTTTCTCTTCTATTTCTTTCCCATTCGCCTCTTTCGCTCGAGCAACCGAACGGACAGTCAGTAAACAAACAAACCCAAGGTCATAGAATATAATAAACAAAACAAAACAGGAAAAAAAAAGGTATTAGTTTTACGAAATCTAAAAAAAAATATATATCTTCTATTTTTATGGTTCGCTTCAGGAAATAAAAAAAAAGAAAAAAATACATAAATAGATCCATTTGAATTCGGATAAATAAATAGGTTTCGAAAAGTGATTCGATTCAGAGGGGAGTGTATTCGAATCCTTGTAAGGAATTGGATTTACTTAAATTATTAAATTATTATTAATTATTAAATTATTAAATTATTAAATTATTAAATTATTAAATTCGTATTCGAATCCTCGCAAGGAATTGGATTTACGCAAACAAGCAAATGAATAATGACAATGATGATGATGATGATAATAACGAAATGACAAGAAATATTCGCTTTTGTTTTGTGTAAATAACGAAATAATTTGGCACTGTCCTTTATGTTTCTTTTTTCTACGTGTCCGAATCTTTACAAGGATCGTTTGTAAAATTTTGTTATCCGTACTCAAATGTTAAAAAAAAGAAAATACGATTAAATACTCTGTCATTCTCTCTCTCTCTTTCTCTCCTTTCTCTTTCTCTCCTCTCTCTCTCTCTCTCTCTCTCTCTCTCTCTCTCTCTCTCTCTCTCTCTCTCTCTCTCTCTCTCTCTCCTCTCTCTCTTTCTCTTCTCTCTCTTTCTCTCTTCTCTCTTCTTTCTCTCTTTCTCTCTTTCTCTCTTTCTCTCTTTCTCTCTCTCTCTCTCTCTCTCTCTCTCTCTCTCTCTCTCTCTCTCTCTCTCTCTCTCTCTCTCTCTCTCTTTCTCTCCTTTCTCTCTTTTCTCTCCTTTCTCTCTCTCTCTTCCTCTCTCTCTCTTTCTCTCTCTTTCTCTTTCTCTCCTTTCTCTTTCTCTCCTTTCCCTCTTTTTCCCTTTCTCTCTCTCTCCTTTCTCTCTCTCTCTCTCTCTCTCTCTCCTCATTCACTCTCTCGTTCTTCCATTGTCAATCCCAAACTGAACCCCATCCACAAACAGAACCCACGACCTTGAACCCCCGACAGAGAACACCCCCCCCACCCCCCACCATCACCTCCCATCGCCTAACGAGACCCCACCCCCGACCTCCCCTGGTGACCCATTCCGCCCTCACTTTTCCCTCCGACAACCCCCCCCCCCCCCGGCTGTCGGATCCTCAATCACTCGTTCATCCGGCCTCGGGTTCGATTAATTAAAGACGATCGGCTCGCCACCATTTCTCCGGCGCTTTATTATTTATTAATAATTGTAATTATTAATATAATTAATATTATTAATTACTGGTGGGGGTGGGGGTGGGGTGGGGGTGGGTGGTTGGTCGTCACGCGTGGGCGCCTGGATACGACTGGGCAGAGTGGGTATTCTAGGGCATGGGTGGTCGTGATGACGTGTCGGTCTTTCCATGTACCCGCAGTGACCTCCACATACATCGAAAAAAAAAGAAAAAAAAATCCCCCTCCTTCTTTAAACAATACACACACACATACACGAAAATACACCGAAAAAAAATCCCCTCCTTATAAATACACACACACATACACGAAAATACACCGAAAAAAAATCCCGTCCTTATAAATACACAAATACACGAAAATACACCGAAAAAAATCCCCTCCTTATAAATACACACATACACGAAAATACACCGAAAAAATCCCCTCCTTATAAATACACACGAAAATACACCGAAAAAAATCCCTCTTATTAATTACACATACACGAAAATACACGAAAAAAATCTCCTTTTTAAATACCTACACGAAAAACATAAAAAATTCCTTATAAATACACAAATACACGAAAATACACCGAAAAAAATCCCCTCCTTATAAATACACACGAAAATACACCGAAAAAAATCCCCTCCTTATAAATACACACATACACGAAAATACACGAAAATAGATCCCAGCCAGCGGCCGTTGATCAATAATTCCGACACTCGTTAGCCTCGACATCTCATTCAATCTCTCGCCAGGATCAGGGAGGATCATCTCTCTACAGACTCAGGTGTGAGGGCTGTCTCCGAGGCAGGGAGGGAAGGGAGGGAGGGATGGTAGGTGGGAGGGAAGGGGGGAAGGTGGGAGGGATGGAAGGTGGTGTAGGAGGGAGGGAAGGTGGGAAGGAGGGTAGGTGGAAGGGGGGAAGGAGGGAGGGAAAGGGAAGGTGCGAGGGCTGTCTCGGAGGCAGGGAGGGAGGGAAGAGGGAGGGAGGGAAGGTGGGGAAGGGGGGAGGGAGGGAGGGAAGGGAAGGTGCGAGGGCTGTCTCGGAGGCAGGGAGGGAGGGAAAGGAGGGAGGGAGGGAAGGAGGAGGGAGGGAGGAGGGAGGGAAGGGGAGGAGGGAGGGAAGGTGGAAGGAGGTGTAGGGAGGGAAAGGAAGGTGGGAAAGGAAGGAAGGTGGGTAGGAGGGTAGGAGGGAGGGTAGGTGGGGAAGGTGGGAAGGAGGGAGGGAGGGTAGGGAGGGAGGGAAGGAGGGTACGAGGGAAGGAGGGAGGAAGGAGGAAGGTGGGTAGGGTGGGAGGAGGGAAGGGGAAGGAGGGTAGGTGGGAGGGAAGAAGGGAGGGTAGGAGGGAAGGTGGGAGGGAGGATTGGAAGGAGGGAGGGAGGGAAGGAGGTGCAGGGAAGGAAGGGTGAAAGGTAGGAGGGAAGGAGGCGCAAGGAGGGAAGGAAGGAAGGAAGGAAGGAGGCGCAAGGAGGGAAGGAAGAGAGGAGGGAAGGAAGAAAGGAGGGAAGGAAGGAAGGAGGAAGGAGCACCAGTTCTCTCCCTGTCTTTGCTTTTCTTCCTCCGTCACTGGTTCTGACTTCTTCCGCTGTCACTGCCTATTGTATTTTCTTTCTTTCTTTTTCTCTCGCCTTTCTTTCTGCTTTCTTTCTTCGTCACTGTCTCTCATTTATTCCACTGTCACTGTCTTTTTTATTTCTTTTTATCCTCTCCACTTCACCCCTTCTCCCTCACTTCTCCTACCCCAAGTCCCTTTTTATCAACTCCTTCCTCTCCCTCCCTCTCCTCTGCTACTCCCACTCCTCTCCTACTTCCCTCTCCCTCCTCCCTCTCTCCTGCTCTAACTCCCCACCCCAACTTCCCCTCCTTTCTAACTCAACCCCCCCCCCTCCCTCCCCTCCTATCCTATTTCCCCTCTCCCCCCTCCCTAACTCTAACCCCCCTCTCCTCCCCCCTCCTCTATCTCCGCTAACCCCCACCCCCAACCCTTCCCTCTCCCTCCCCCTCCTCCTCTATCTCCGCTAACCCCCACCCCCAACCCCTTTCTCTCCCTCCCCCTCCCTCCCTACTCCTACTCTCCTCTCCTCCCCTCCTCTCCTACTTCCCTCTCCATACTCCCCTCCCCTCCTCTCCCTCTCCTTCTCCTCCCCTCCTCTCCTCTCCTTCTCCCTTCCCCTACTCTCCCTCTCCCTGTCTCGCCGTTCCCGTCTCGTCTTGATGTTCAGTTGGCTTTGTCCGAGAGATCTGCCATAGGATCACGACAGCAAGGTTTTGTTCGGCTCACAATCCCCCACAAGGACCGGGGGAGAT